GTCACTTTATCGTTACCATCCTCCCTGGTGCTACTACCATTTTCTTGTGGTTCCATTTGAACAGATTTCTCATTTGTAGAATTATTCTCAGGTGCTGACTTTTTGTAGGTGATTTCCTGTTGCTTTGAAGAATCAGATTTTGATAATTTCGCAGAAGTTTCTTCGAATCGTGCTACAATGAAATTTGAAATCTGCGTCAACTCAGCTTTTGCTGTTGCCTGATTCACCTGACTTTTTGAAAAACAATAAATATTACAACAAGTTTGAATTATCTTAAGTAGACTGATTCCGTGAACCGGGCATTGTTCTGTGGTAATGAGCGTGAGCAATACTTTCAAAATTTGAAGTTGAACAGTTTGATCCGTTTGAGGCCCAACAAATCCGGTGCATATCGAATGCACGACATCATCTATCAACAAAAAGGGATTAGGAAATTTCGGAGAATTATTTATTGGCGAAGTAGCATCAGATGACTCAGTGGTGTCAAAAGAAGTTGAGGTGTCAAGAAGAGAAAAGTCGTTTGTTTCGCTAAATCCGTTGTTAATGTGTTTTGCTTTTGATTCACGTTTCTTTGCTTGATCAATTTTTGGAGGTGATATGGGGTTGTCGCCTATAAGCAATCCGTGAGCGATGACTTTTTGCAAACAATCGAGAGCAATCACTCGAATGTTGACAGGCATTGTATTACCACAAGCAAGCCTAAAAGGCTGCCAGTAGTTATCAGCCAAGACTTTAGGTAATTCTTCTCCGGCACGCGCGAACAAACTGCTAGATGTAGAAGCACGACCGTTCACACTTGTTTCAAAATTTTTTTTCGGTGAGGTTTTTGCTGAAGTTTTAGGTGTTGATTTGCCAGCCTTTCCATTCTTTTCGGCTTTTTCTGTTACAATTTCGCTTGTTTCTCCTGTTTTAGCATCCTTAGTGTCAGTACCAGACGTCTCAATCTTAGGAGTCTCGTTGACACTGTCTTCTGGGTTCGCTTTTTGCTTGCCTCTTTTTATGGCTGCTCTCTTAAGGAGATAATTTATTTCTTGTTGGAGTTGTTCCAATGCAGTAGAACAAACTTGTTCGAGTTCTTTTTGTTTCGATGATTGTGCCTCGGCTAGAAGCCTTTCCAGTGCACCCTTTAGGATGCTCATTGGTACAGTTTCACTGAGGTCGTCGAGAGTACGGTGGAATCAAGACAAAAACTATCTGACCATTTCCTAGCCAACACACTTTCAAGAATATTTACGAAATAAGTAAAGATATTGACAAGCTCATCCAAGCCACAAAGAAATGCTGAGCCTGAAGCTTAGCGGCGGCCCGTTGAGGCAGTGTTAATTTATTACTAAAACTCGAAAATCAAGGTTCCCGCTTGATAGAAAAAAAATTTTTTTTATACTTGAATGTAATCACGTGCAACTTTAATTAGCTTAAGTGCCCAAATAGTGTGTTTGTAACATCATGCCACGTTTTGCATGTATTACTAGAAACCACAGTATGAATTCTTGATCCCCGGCAAGAACCCCACAATGAATCTTTTAATATAAAATGCAGGCGATCGTACTTTTAAAATTTTACCAGCGAAAATGATACCTTGTTGTGCAAATTAATCCTTCTCTTTTCATTAGCATTCTATGTACACGAGTAGAAATGTCAAAACCAAATCCAAATTTTAAGAGAGAAAGGGAAAATGATCAAACATCCAGTGAGATTATCTCTCGAATAAAGGAAAGTGGAAATGAATAATGGATTGAGAATCCAACTAAAAAATTTGTAAGAAATGTTCATTTTGTGTCATGTAGTTTATGAAAGAATTACTATAAATACATAATTAGAAAATATGATAGAAAAAAAGGACGAGTAAATGATTTTCTTTTTTGAATAAATAAACCATTATGTTCATCAGTCGCGACTTATAGTTATACCGATTGAGGAATGCCAACGGCAGGTGGACTGTTGGGGCCGAGAATGCTAATTAATCGTGGACAAGAAATTGTAGACAAAGTTAGCAAAAAAGGGATGTCATCGTTTCACTGAACTCGACCAAAAGTTATCATACCTTGGTCGCTTCTTTTGCTTCCCATGTTGTTTTGTGTCCAGGGGTTTGAGCAGTTCAAAACTACATAATAGTTCCTCATTCACATTCATTACAGCCCCAAAGTTGTCAAATTCTCCGCAATAGTTTGGTGCGGAAAACACAGTTACCAAAGTCCTCTCATTGAAAAATTCGTAGCCATCTTCTACCACCATATGAGCGCGACAAACCAAATCGAAATCGTGTCGTTGCAAAAATTCAAGAATAATGGCTTTACCAAAACAATAACTAACGCCCCTTTCATTATCCTCCCAATCGACTGCAGTCTCCGAGGGATCCGACCATAAAAGATCATTGAGGAGTCCATAATCAGGTACATCGGTGGGACGTTTAATCCCTCGGATCTCATCCATGGAAGAGAGAGAGGGAGATAAACCACCATGCACGCAAAATATCTTGTTTGCTACGATCGCAGCGATTGGGATACAGTTAAAAACGTCAATAAATGTTTTCCACGTTTTAACATTCGATCTTCTCTTGCATTCATCGTAAAATCCGTATACTTTGTATTGAAAAAAAGTGCAATAGAAAGATTAGTAAATGATCGATGCATTTGCAATAAAAAAAAAGGTGTCTCCTTAAGATAACAGAAACATCATTTTTGATCTTATTCACTAAATAATAACGATGACTCAATCAATGGTTTAGTCACTTGAAGTCGGGGATTAATTTACCTCTGGTCACATTCGCACATTCGTGGTTTCCTCTTAACAGAAAGAAATTCTCGGGATATTTAATTTTGTAGCAGAGTAATAAGAGAATAGTCTCCAGACTCTGCTTTCCACGATCAACGTAGTCTCCCAGAAACAAGTAATTCGCCGTTGGAGGAAATCCACACATTTCAAATAGTCGAATGAGATCGGTGTATTGACCGTGCACGTCGCCTACGATCTTAACGGGCGGTGATAATTCGATAAGTGTTGGCTGTGACAAAAATACTTCCCGTGCAGCCTGGCAAATGGTGTGCATTTCGGCATTTTTCAGGCATACGGATTTTGAAACTTTATTGGAATAACCTGCAATAAGGAGGCGTTGTATCATGTCATCAATGTCAAGAGATTTTGCACGATCATAAGCGGGTATATTATAGGTGTTTCCTTGAGGAGAGGAGGGTCCGTTGGAACCTAAACCGTCTACATTATTGCTACCTGGGTCGTTTGGTCGCAAAAGAATTGGCTCCATTGGAGCTATTGGAGCGATCGGTGAACTATTTTCGGGACTGGGTGTA